AGCCGGGGACCAGGGCACGTGTGAGCCAACGGGCCTCTCCACCGAGGCCCTGGCACCGTGAGGGTTGGAAGGGCCAGCTGGGCAGTGAAGCAAAGGCCCTGAGGTGCCAGCCTTGTAAGCAGCCCGTTTGAGCTGATATCGAGAGGGTTTCTGTCTGGAGGCATCAGCCCTGTGTCCAGGCAGGAGCAGAGAGAACGCCCACCTCCGGGTTTATCAGCTGGGATCTTTCCAGCTGATGTAGCAGGGACCCAAGCTCGGTGATGGAAACACCAGGGGCGTCGTTGTTCTCACGAGACAAGAAGTCCAGAGCCCAGGGCAGAGGCAGCTGCTGGAGACTGACGAGGACACAGGCTCCCGCCCCCTCCAGCGCCGTCCGGCGGGGCCGTGGATCTTGTGAGCTCCACGACAGGGTGGCCATCCAGCACTGAGAATCATCCTCGCCGCAGCTGGAGGAACAGCCAAAGCCTTTCTTACGAAGCGCCGTGTTCATGAAGGCTTGTCGTCCCCCAGAGATTTCTGCTCACCTGTCGTTGGAGAACCGTGTCACTTGGGGTCTCAACCTGGTCCCAGCAGGAAAAAGACGGCACACCCCAAAAAGCAGTGGGCAGCGTGACCAAGGGCCGTTTCCACAGGTGTGGGCTGAGTTAAGGGTGCCGACAGGGCGGCTGAAGCCCCGTGGCCAGCAGCAATACAGAGTCCTCATTTCTTGGGAAAGAGAGGAGATTATCACAAAAAAGATATTTTTTCATGTAACAGGTTGGTCTTTGAGATTTCTAAGACCAATTTTAACCTAAGGTTTCCAACACTCTTTTTTTTTCCTTCTCCTTTCTTAACTGTGGAGACACTGGAATCAGACCGTCCAGGTCAGAAGTCCTAATATCTAAGTGTCGGCAGGGCTGTGTTCCTTCCGGAGGCTTTGGGAGAGAATCATGTCCTTACCTTTTCCAGCTTCTAGAGGCGCCTGCATTCCTTGGCTTGTGGGCCCTTCCTCCATCTCCAAAGCCAGCAGAATAAGGTTTTCGAAATCTCTCTTCTGACTCGGACTCTCCTGCCTCCCTCTTACGAGGACATTTGTCGGTACCCTGGTCCCACCTGGATATCCAGGACAGTCTCCCATCTCAAGATCCTTGACTGCATCACACCTGCCAGTCCCTTTTGCTGTGTAAGGTCACGTGTTCACAGGTTCTAGGATTAGGATGAGGACATCCTTCTGGGCCCATCATTCAGCCCACGTCAATCTCCAAAAACACCAATCCCTTTGTCCATCCCCCCTCCCTCCTTACCAACAGACCTTCCTGCCACTGGTGCAAACCAGAGAGACGACTGTAATCATCCTGATGAGCATAAAGGGGACACGATGGAAAATTTTAAGTGGAAGAAATAAATGCAAAACCACAATCTCGGTGTGCGATGAGGTCTAGTAAAGAGTAAATGCCATCAAATTCTAGACCCTTCTAGCTGCCCAGAAGCCCTCTGCATTTTCAGCCTCATCCTCTTCTACTCTCCTTTAAAGCATTGACTTCAAGACCAATGAAACTTGGTTTTCTCCCCCAATGTTATTGCTTTCTGTTAAGTTACCGTGTTGAACGCAGTATTTCCCTCTACGAAGCTCAGCGTCTTGGCTCCACTGCAGGGTAAATAGGACTGACAGGCGGACCTGACCTCTCCCTCTGCCCTAACCACCCTGTGGCGTCCCTGTGGGAGAGTGTCCGTGCCTGCCAGTCAGTTTCCAGATGCACGGTTAGGCTGTGACCTGTCTGCAGGTTGGGGATTGTCCATTCTTGACCAGAGCCCCGGGCAGTGCCCCTGGCGGGTGACTCCTGACTGCTCTGTGCTCTTATAAGGGACCAGATCATAAATAAATGTCCATAAATAAATGAGTTCTGCATACGGAGCCTGACACCCAAGTTGGCCTCCCTGTGAAGCACGAGTCTGAATGTGTTTCTCAGAAACACCTGACTCGTGTGGACTTTGGGCTGTTCAGCGTGCTTCTCTGCTGTGGGAAGATTTTTTTTTTACGATTTTATCCCCGGAGGCCCAGTAGAAAATAGATGACACCTTCAAACTGGGTGATGGAGGGGAGTTTCAGAGTTTTGGGTGTGGGCGGGGCTGGAGGGGCCTGGGGCAGCAGCAGCCAGGGCGCCGTGACGCCCCCCCACCAGGGGCACAGGGAGAGCCTGTGGGAGAGGCCCTCCCGACAGAGCTGTGGCTGCAGTAGAAGGACACCGTGTCGGGGTCCCCGAGACCACCCCCAGGTTTGAAGAGGCGCGAGGAGGACTAGCAGGACGCAGCACACAGTCATGCTCACAGCTACCATTTATTACAGAGCAAGGATCCAAGGTGCCTTGAGCAAAAGGAACAGCGCTGGGGTGGAGACCAGGGACAGGCTTCCAGAGCCCTCCTGGGGGGCACACAGGACGAGCTCGATTCCTGCAGCTGTGAACGCACCTGTGAAGTGCCACCTCCCAGGGAAGCCCAGGAGAGACCCAGCGCCCAGGGTGTCTATTGGAGGCTGTCACGTGGGCACCTCTGTCTGTACCCCCCAAATTCCCAACTCTGCGAAGGAAGCAGGTGGTCAGCATAAACCACATGGTCTGTGCAGACAGTCTGCACACAGTGAGCCCCTCTTATCAGTCAGGGAATGGTGAGAACCTTCCGGAAATCCGAGCCCCAGACACTTGCTAGCAGCCCTTTTAGGGACGGCAGCCTCAGGCCTGTGGGGTGAGTTCTCTTCTGCACAGACGACCCTGCAGGCTGGGTGAGGGGGAGGGAGCTGACACCGCCCGCACTCTTCTGCATGCCCCCGATTTCCAGCGGGTGGTCCCCCCTGGCCAAACCTAATTAGGAGCTGGATGGTTTGGGAGGTTGGCCTCCTGAGGCCCAGAGCAGACAGATGAGGGTGGAGAGTGGATCTGGAAGGACCAACATAAATAATCCACCCAGGAACGCAGGCCACCTTTCCGTCAGCTCGTCTATCTCTACGCCTTTCCATTCAGTCCACCACATTCCTGGACCACTGACTCTTCCAGGCTCTGATGGTAAAGAATTGAGTTGCAAAAGAAAACTCCTATCCAACTGGAACTTACACTCTAATGAGGATCAACCACAAGAAAAATGTAAACAGCTCGTAGAATAATTTCAGATGGTGATAAATGTGGAAAATAACTCATGGCAAAGTGGTGAGGGGGATGGAGGTGGGCAGGTGGGGAGGAGGATTTCAGTACCTCAAGTGGGTTGGGAAGGCCTGTCTGAGGAGGTGACATGGTTGATGAGAAGGGTCTAGACCTGCAAAGATTGGGGGTGGAGTGGGAGGTGGCTAGGTATGTGCCGCACTGGAAACAGTACATGCAAAGGCCCTGGGGTGGGAATAAGGTTGGCCTGTTTAAGGGACAAAAAGAAGGCCAGGACGGCCGGAGTGTGGTGAATGGGGGTCACAGGGTAGCAGTTCAGATCAGAGAGGTGGGTGGGCCAGATGCTGCAGGCCACTCTAGGGGTTTGAATTTCATCCTAATTTCCATGGCGGCCACGGGAGGCTTCAATCAGGGAGTGGCACGATCTGATCTATCTCTCAGAAAGCTCACGCTGGCTTCTGTGTGCACCAGACTCCGGGCTTTTGAATATTACTCCCAAGCCCAATTTTCTTGACCAGTTAGAACGTGAGAAGTGATGGCTTTCCGCAGACCCTTACCCCGGTGTTGAGGATCAAATGTGAGTTCTGTTTAGTTCCAATAGCTCACGACATTTTCACCCGGAGCATGTGAATTGTTCCAGGTTCCTTGCTTGATGTGTCACGCTGTAGCAAAACGGCACTAAAATACTCCTGCGAATCAGACCTCTCGGCGACCCCTTAATAACAGCTTCCCCGTAACCCTGTTCATTTAGGAATGCCAAGTGGGTGCCTGCCTTTCTTTTGGTGCCACAGAAATCGTCAGGTTAAACTAACACTGGTATGTAAAGTGTTTGAAACAGAAAGGACCTCTTTCGCAGCTGACAAACAGGACTTTGTGACAGCCTGTTATTGAAGCCATAATTCGTGTTGTAACATTTGAGGGGAGGGAAGAAGTGAAAGTCTGTGGTTGAGTTGAACTGTGCTCCACAATGAAAAGCAACAGGGATGAGCCACGGCAACTCCTCTCATGACAGCAGGCCCTCCTCTGTTTCAAAGAAACAGTACGAGGGGTTGAGAATAAGCGGTATCTCCCAGATAAGTTCCAGACATGGCCCTGGTGGTTGTGGTCTGAGAGTGGACGTGGGTCCATCATTCTAATCCACGTGGAGCCTTGTTGCCATTTTATCCACTTTTAAAACAGGTGAAATTTTTAGACAAAAAGATTAGGATCTGGGACAATTTGGTTAACACTTTTGTATCTGTCAGGACTTTCAGTTCAAAGGGACAGAAGACAATTTAAATTAGTGTAAGCAAGCAAAGGGAAGCTATTGGCCCAAGTAAATGGAAAGGAAAATATTAGCTTCGGCTCAGCTTGATTTGGTGCTCAAACTATGTCATGAGGATCCTGCCTCTCCCTCTGCCTCTCTTGGCTCTATGTCCATTTTCTTGGCTCTGTTCTCAGATGGGTTATTCTCTCACGACAGCAAACCGCGCTGTCCCTCCAGCCTCTTGTCCTCAACCTTCCCAGGGCAGTGGGCAAGTCTCATTTCTCACTCTCCGGGGACGCACCTGGGTCACGTGCCCCTCCGCAGCCAATCACTGTATCCATCGTGGGTTACTCTGATTGGCCAGGCCTGGGGCACGTCCCAGTGCTGAACCAATCACTGTGGCTGCGGTGGGTGGGGAGGGCGGAGCGGACAGCCCTGGTGACACGTGTTGGCCCCGGGAGGCGCGGACTCGTGGTCAAGTGCACGACCGAGGAGGGGGAGGGGCAGGCTCTCCAGAGAGAGACGGGGAGGGGTGGCGGGGCGGCGCCCCCGCGCTCCCGGGCGCCTCGTGACCGGCCCCTTCTCCGTCCTCGCTCCCGCAGGTGAGAGCGGAGCATGCGCGCCTTCGCCACGCGCTCGCCGTCGTGAGCAGGGAACGCGATCTGGCCGTGCAGGAGAAGCACCAGCTCCAAGCCAAGCTGGAGAACCTAGAACAGGTCCTGAAGGTAGGCTGGGCTCCCGCGTCTGCTTTCCCTAGGGTCAGCGCCGAAGGAGCGGCTGCACGGCCCCGGGGAGACAGTGGTTGCAACTCTTCTGGAAGCCGGCATCGGAATTCAGGGCTCTGGGGGCTGTTTTTGCCCCTTTTTATTCTATAAAAAGTGGTAAGTAACAAAATCCGAATGTTTCTAGAAGCGATCCCGTAAAACCAATTATGCATTTCCATTTCTTAGGATGTTAAACACAGCTGAGCGAGAGGCGGGAGGCAGCGCTCCTGAATGGAAATGAGGCTGTCTTAGGTTGAGGACCAGAGGTGTCTACATTGGTTTGTCAAACTTCATGAATTTTAAGCGCCTCCTCAGATGTTTAATGACCTTATTATAAAGAGAATAGCTAAGTCAGAAAATTGTTTTACCAGGGTACAGGTAATTGGATCTTCCTCATGCATTTCTGATGAGCCGGGATCTCCTTCAATATTTCATGGGTGGGCTGATTTGCTATTGATCTCGCTGAGTTAAGCTGATTGAATTCTTTGCCCTTTTTTTTTTGAGTGTTAAATTTTTATTGGATTGTCATTGTGGGAAAATTTTTTAAAACATAAAGAATAAAATAATAATCACCTCCAGTCCTACAATCTGGTACCTACATGACTTTAATCGTTTGTATTTCCCAAGCTCGGAACATGGTGCGGTGCTGCCCACCGGCCCGCCTTCATCAGAAGTGATTTTTAACTCCATCTCTAACATTTGGGGCACTGCTGGAGCTCGGGGCAGGGGGGAGCAGATGGGGGTTGGCAGGACTGGGGGAGGCGGGCAGTGGGGAGTGACCACTAAGGGGGATGGGGTTTCTTGCGGGGGTGATGAAAATGTTCTGTAATCAAATAGTGTGATGATCACTCAACCTTGCGAATATACTAAAACCACTGAATTGTATACTTCAAGAGGGTGTGCTTTATGGTGTGTGAATTATATCTCAATTTAAAAGTAAGGTGCCATGTTCTCTCACTACTGGCCCTGAATGTGAACCGAGCTCGGGCTGTGGTTCTCACCTCCACACCTCCGTGTGTCCCACCTGCCGGCCGTGGGTCAGGCCAGTCTTTCCCCCCACCCGGAGTGGGTGAAGTTCTGACCGGCTTTGTGGGGCACGCAGCCCTTCCCGTCTGACCTCGGGTTTGAACCTCAGCACTCAGGCCTTGCACATGGTGGACACCCCAGGCTTACGTCCAGGTTCTGTCCATCGCGCCCTGCACACAACCCTCGCCTGGCTGCCTGCCCGCCGGGGGGTGCACACACCAGGGTGTCATGTCCCGTTAGGGGGACAGGCCAGGAGGAGGCCTGTGCAGGACCTGGGGTGAGCTCAGGGAATTTGGTTCAGGGAACTCCAGGGTCTGGGTAGCTGGCTGTGGTCCAGGAGGGGAGAGCAGGGGACCTGAATGGGCACGTCCCCTTGGCCCTATGGGATGGGGACTCAGCTGCCAGAAGGAAGTCAGCTGGGCGGGCAGCCTGTCCACTGACAACAGTTGGTGGACACGGTCATCTGGAGAGCAGCAAGAACGGGAGAGATTAGTGGTTGTGAGGCCCCGTGGGAACAGTGACAGGGTGATGGGGCCAGGGTTCCGGCAACTGCCTCCCCTTGGTCAGCTGGCCCACGCTGTTTTGGCCTGTTCATCACGTGGCAGCCAGAGCAGTACTGTTCATGGAAATCATATCCCAACGTCATCCCCAAACCCTCCCCGTGACCCCCAGCTCCTTCACCCGAAGCCTGAAGCCCTTCCCTGGCCTCAGTCCTGTGCGTGCGGCCGCCCTCCCCGGGCTCCTGTCCATGGCTCCCCAGCCGCTCACTCCCACCGCTCTGTCTGTTCCTGCTCTGGTCTCCGTGCCTGGAGCAAAGCCAGGCCCTTGATACCTACGCCAGAAAATTCTTCTTCTCTGTCCAGTGTCAATGAGTGCGTGAACGGCGGGGCTCGGAGACCAGCGTGAAGGCCCTGCAGGAGGCTGCACTGCAGGACTTGCCAGGCCCAGGCCCACTGGGGGGCCCTGTTGGAAGCAAACAAGCTCTTTCTCAAGGATTTTGCTCTGTGGAGAAAGGGAGAGAAGGAAGAAATGGAGATGAAAAGAGCCTGTCCTTTTCAAGGGGTGATTCTGCTGCAGGTGAAGGAAAGTGCATGTCTTGCAAATTTGCAAAACCCTCTGTGATCTGGCCGTTTCCCACACCTGGCGCTGAGAGAGCCTTTGTGACTGAGAGAAGGCGGGAGAGGTGGGGAGGTGACGGTCCCCTGCGGGCGTGAAGGAATCCCTGTGCTTTTGGACAGAACCTGCTAAGCTTGGTGGCTCTCAGAGAGTCCCCTCCAGCGGGGTGAGCGCCTGTGTTAAAAGCATCGCCTCGACTGGTACCGGCTGAAAAGCACGGCCGCTCTCGTGCTGTTCTGCTGGTATTTTTGTCGTCGTAATAAAGAGCTATTCACAGTTCGTCTTGTTTCCCCTGAGCAGCAAAGCCCATCAGTGCTGATGGAGGGGGGAGGCGGTGAGCTGGGCTGAGATGCAGCTGACTTGATTTAGAGAGTCGTGGAGGCCCAGCCCTGCCCTTTCTGCAAACTTGAGTAGAATGATGACCTTGCATTTCCGGAAGTGGCCTGGACTCGCCCACAGCCCGCCGAATGTGGTGTTTTGGTCTCCTGCTGTCGGCGATTTGAACTGAATTGAAACCCACGCCAGATCAGTCAACCGACTTACTGAGAGCCAGAGAGGACTCCACCAGGCTCGAGGCCAGCCGGGGAGGACATGAGGCGGTGCGGATCCCATCTCAACGTACCTGGAGCCGAGCCTGGCCCGACAGCCCTGCTCCCAACCCCGAACCTCCATCTGGGAGGAGTGGAGATGCTGAGTGCCAGTGTGGGGGAGAGCCCAGTGACTGGCTCCCAGAACCACGCCCATCATGGGTTTTTACTGAATTGCAAATGGAATCTATTTTTTCCTTCAAAATATAAAAGCTTTTAGTGAAACCCATATTGAAATTGGTGCCGTTTTCTAAGACAATCCAGCTAGAACAGTACTGAAACTGACCAGAGCCGCCGCAGGGACCAGACCAGAGATGTTTAACCTGATCTGAATCCCTCCTGATTCTTATATTTCTAAAAATAATAATTGATGGATTCATTATCTGTGTGTGTGTTTTTATCATGCTTCTTTCCAAGGATATGGTCAAATTACCAGAATCGTCACATATAATAACATGCTCAAATGACATGAATGGAGGGACAAAATTCAGGTAAAGAGAAAGGAGGACTCCAACAAGCCAGCTTGGAGGACAGACATCCTTACTCTCAGCTTCTGATTCGGCCTGAGTTTCCCAGCAGCCCCGACATAAAAGGAAAAGTGAGCAGTTACATAATTCTCACTCCTAAGAGGAGGGAGCCTAGTGTTTCCCCTGGAAAGCAAAACGTGGAATGCTGAACTTGATTATACTTGGAAATTTGTGTTAGAGGATGCAGAGTAACGTAGTGGAAAACACCTCCAGGACCATCTTCACAGCACTGGAGGGCGATTTTCCTACGTGCCCTTCTTTAGGGTTATCTCTGGGGAAGAAGGGCAGCAGGCCAGTGGCTTGCAAGGAAAACTGGGGAGACTCGCTGAGGCCGGGTCGCCCACATGTGGGGAGGACCCGGGAAGAGTCCTTTTCAATGAGAACCGGAGAACAGGAAAAGTCGTATTCCTGACACATTCCCGGTCTGTGGAATTTAAAACGCCAGGAACGGAAGAGTGTCAGAGACTGAGCAAAGTGAGACGGGATGAGGGGGCTCGACAGACTGTCCCCCTTGTTTTGGTGGGCGTTGCCTCACGCCAGCATCCGTATTGAGGGAGAGGGGTGTACCCGTGTGTCTCGACAGGGGTCTCCACAGTCAAAGGTACAGGGGTGTCCCTGGCCTGTGACGATTCGTTCATTCCTTCGTTCATTCCTTCGTTCATTCCCAAGTGTAGATGGAGCACTGACTGTACCAGGCCCTGTTCCAGGCACCAGGGATGTTGCAGGTAGCAAAACAGACCTGGACATCCTACTAGGAGAGAGTCAATGGAGAAGAAGCCTACTGTGTCTGGAATATGGTGCCAGGCGCTGATAAGGGCTTTGAAGAAAAACAAATTAGAGTGAAGGAGTAGGAAGGGACGTGGGGACCCTTCAGGTGAGGAGTGGGGAGGCCTCTCCGACATATCAGTGGAGCAGAGGGAGTGCTTCTGAATGGAGGGGGGGAGGGGCCCGGTCAGCATACAGGGGAGGAGGACCCAGGCAGAGGGAGCTGAGACGGGTGGATGCTTGGGGTGTTCGAGGACCAGCGAGGTGGCTGGTGAGCAGGGGAGGGGGAAGGGGGGTGGCAAAGGTGAAAACTGAAACCTAGATTGGGGCTAGCTGGGGCAGGGTCTCATAGGCCAAGCGGAATTCCAAGACTTCTGGAGTGTGTTCCAGCGCCATCAGATATTGCATCAGTTACCTGTTGTCACGATACTGCTGTGTGACAAGCAGTGCCTTACAACAGTAACCCTCGTATTGCTCGCAAGTCTGTGGGTTGGCTAAGAGGCGCTTGTCATCTTGGCTGGACTTGGCTGGATATGTCTCTAGTCTGGGGCTCAGGCAGTCGGCTAGCTCTGGGCTGATGTAGGATGGTTCTGCAGGGTGACTGGCTTTGGTCCTTGCTGCTTCATGCTCCAGCAGGCTGTCTGAGACCTCCAATCATGGCACGACAGGCCATGAAGGGAGCAGACGCACGTGAGACCTCGTGAGGACGAGGCTAGCCTGGCGCAAGTCCCTTCCATCGCTTCCCATCGGCCAGAGCGAGTCTCAGGCCAGCCCAGTTCCGAGAGAGAGAGAACCAGACTCTGTCTCTAGCTTGCAGGAGCTGTGAAGTCACCTCACCCAGCAAGTGGGTGCAGGAGGGATGGAGAATTGTGGCATAACGTGTCATCAGTTTACCACAGATGCCGCTGAATGGTGGAGAGGCGACGAATTGCATCTGCTT